GTGTGTGTGTGTGTGTGTGTGTGTTCTTTTGGTTCTGTTCCTCTAGAAAACTCTAATATAAGCAGTGTGGGAACTAAATGAATAAGGAACTGAGACATGGAATCTAATCGGGTTCTCATACCAGTAGACTACATATTATTTACTATCAAGAAAATTGCCTCACCATGCCTTAGAACCAATAGGGATAACAGTAACAACATCAAAGAGTGGTTATAGGAAATACAAACATAAGAAAACACCTAGCAAACTGCCTGCCATATAGTAGTTACTATGACTCATTATCATCCAGAATTCTTTTTTCCCTTCTTGTTAACATCAACAGACTCCTGTTAATCCCTTCAGTAAGCAGTGTTACATTATTCAGGGGAGTTATTAGCACCAGCTTTCTAAGTTACATTCACATTAAAGATCTCCTAGGACAGTCTGAATGGGACTGGGGGACCCAAGCTCTCTCCGAACTATACAGATGTTCTTGTTACTTTACAATATTATTTTTCTTTGACCCAGTTTCATCCCCAATTTTAACCTGGGGCCTACGGTTCAAACCTTAATATGTATTTGCTTTAGCAGTTCAAAAGTGAAATAAAAAAGGAATCGAGGCTTTAAAATCCTACTCCAAAATGTGTCTCTGTATCCCCGCTCTTTCTCTGTTTTGGTTTTTCGAGACAGGGTTTCTCTGTGTAGCCCTGGCTGTCCTGGAATTCACTCTGTAGACAAGGCTGGCCTCGAACACAGAGATCTAGCTGCTTCTGCCTCCCCAGGGGGATTAAAGGCATGTGCCACCACTGCCCAGCTGCATCTACACTCTTTAAAAGGTATAAATATGAGAATTTTCACAAATCCTTCAAACACATCAGTGGTGCTTGAGAGACAAGCACACCTTAAAATATAAGCCTGAGCTGGGCGGTGGTGGTTGTTTCTATAGTTGAATTACAATGGTAATTTTTCATGTCATTAGTCATAGTTACAGTCTATGTGGAAATTAATGGCAGGCAGATCTCTGTGAGGTCAAAGCTATGCAGAGAAATCTTGTCTCGAAAACAAACAAACAAACAACAACAACAAAATAAGCAGGGATCAAACAGGACCCTTCCCAGATGCTATGCCAGTCTATTCCTACACAGGACTCTAAGATCAGGAGAGAGCACCCAGAGTGACTCCAAGTCAGCAGTACCCACTGATCTCCAGGTTACCACTCTATGAAACTATGAAATCAGAGTTTCTATTCCTTCCACGTGTATTACACAGGCTCTCTCTGAAATCAAGTTGGACTGATCTGGCTGCCATATTTATCAATAAGGAAGAACTAAGACACCATTCAAGGTACAGAAATATGGAGGCAGGCTAGATGCTTCAATAAGGAAAGGTGCTTGTCACACAGGCCTGGCAATCCGGGCTCAATACTGGGGCCCACATAAAGGTGGAAAGAGAGAACAGATTCTATGAAGTTGTCTTCTGACCTCCACATGTACACCAGGTCACACACTCCTACACATACAAATGCACGCATGCGCGCGCCATACACACACATATACACACACATGCACGCACGTGAGCATGTATACAACCTAAAAACAAAAAAGATACAGAATGGTACCTTAGCCAAATTTTAGTTTATGGTCTGCTTCTACATTCAAATTTCTCCAAAAACATGTAAAATTCTTAAGATGTTACAACTAATCAACTCATAAATCAAATGATTACTGAGAACCTACCAAATATTCCACATTACACTGGATAAAGAAAAGTAGGACTTCAGTGATTGCCGAAAGCTTAACGAATTTAGAAATTCTGGTTACTACTATACTATGGAAAACTGCTCGGTAGATCTGAAAGAGTGTTAGGTGTGTGTCCTGCCGCCCCCCAGCTTTTTTGGCTATCTTAAAACACCAGGAAGGGCCAGCTGATGTAAGGTGCTCGCTGACAAGCCTGACTACATAAGGTGGGAGGAGAGAAACAATTCCTTCCACACACATGCGTAACAGGATGTTATGTGTATAGGTGTTGTTTCTGTACCCTTAGCTGTGCACCACATGTGTGCCTAGTGTCTAAGGAAGCCCGCCATACTAGGGCATCAAATTCCCTGAAACTGGAATTACAGATGATTATGAGCTGCCACACTGAATTGTGTGCTGAGAATTGAACCCAGGTCTTTTTGGTCCATTGTTTCACAAGTTTTTGTGCATGGATGCCTGGATCCATTGCTTTGAGCTTGAGGTGAGACATAATTTCATAATGGCAGCTAGAGAGCAGATAGAACAGGGCTAACACATTCAAACCACCCTCCATAACCCACTTCCCCGAATGACATCCCATCCTTGCCCTTTCACAGTGCTACCACCTCCTAGCAGGCTTTTTAAACCCTGAATCCATCAAGAGATTAAGCCACTGATTAGGTTGGATCCTTTATGATTTAACTGCCTCTTACATCCCCTCACAAATCCACCCAATGTGCTTAACTCATCTCCTGGGCTTTCAACCCAAGCCAGCCAATGGACAAGAATACACTGAATGTTTGACCCCTGCATAAGAGACACTAATGAGCCGGGCGGTGGTGGCGCACGCCTTTAATCCCAGCACTCGGGAGGCAGAGCCAGGCGGATCTCTGTGAGTTCGAGGCCAGCCTGGACTACCAAGTGAGTTCCAGGAAAGGCGCAAAGCTACACAGAGAAACCCTGTCTCGAAAAACCAAAAAAAAAAAAAAAAAAAAAAAAAAAGACACTAATGAATTATAATGCGTATATTGAGTCTTTTTCTTATTTTTATAAATCATGTTTCTTTCAGTTACCATTTTAGAATAAGCAAACAATCAGCCTCCGTCCAATTCCTATACACATAAATAGTGCAAAAGTAATTTATTATAGATAGCAAAATACAATAAAAGACTGAAATTTTTACTAAGGTGCTGCAGAAATGGCTCAGCAATTAAGAGCACTGGTTGTTCTCTTAGAAGACAAGGGTTTGATTTCCAGCACCCACATGGTGGTTCACAACCTGTAACTTCAGTCTCAGGGGAGTTGACATCCTCTTGTCTCCAAGGACACTGTATGCATGTGATACACAGACATACATGCAGGCAAAACACTCAAACACATAAAATAAGAGTTCCAGGCCAGCCAGGTCTACATAGTGAGACCCTGTCCCAAAATAAATAAATAAGCATCATTAAATTTTAATGTTTTTAAAATTCTTTACTGAGAATCTGCAAGTCTATAGAACATGATACAGACTCCCTCTGCTGGTGTCCAACAGCAGCAGCTCTGTAACACTAAAAGAATTCCTGTAGGAGTAATGAAAGGCAAATGGCTGATTCAACTAATTACTTGTTAGATTTTAGATGCTTCATAGATCTGGCTACAGGCCAATCAAAAGCCATACCAACCATAGTTGTTTCTACAACAATTACAGAGAAAAGTTACCAGCAAATTTTGTTATCAGAACAGGATAATTTAAAATATGTTTTCACTGTGATTACATTGTGTGGTGTTTACATTTTTCCTTTCCCAAATGGACTGCTCTTAGTTCTTCTTTTGGCTGTTTTGGCGGGGGTGGGGAGTACCAAGGACCTCATACAAACTACTTTAATCTGAACCTTTCTAACTTAACTTTGAAAAGAAGTTAAAGATAAATATGTTTACCTGTGATGATGGGTCAAACACACCTAAAAGTCAAACATTTCAGACCTGATATGGAAAGAGGCCCATTTCAAGTTTTATGTATAAAAATACCTAAAAATAATCCTAGTGCTCAGGAGTCATAGACAGGCGATCCCTGTGAGTTCAAGGCTAGCTTGGTCTACAGAGCTACATAGCAAGTTCCAGGACAGCTAGGGCTATTATACACAGAAACTCTGTCTCAAAAAACAAAACAAAACAACCCTCAAAAAATACTTATAAACTTTCTAAAGATTAAATTTTTATGAGCCAAGTGTGGTGGCACATGCTTTTAATCCCAGCACTAGGGAAGCAAGCAGATCTCTATGTTGGAGGCCAGTCTGCTCTATATAATAAGTTCTAGACTGCCAAGACTACATAGCAAGACCTTGCCTCAAAAATAAACAAACAAATAAATAAATAACTTTTATTTTTAAGCTGAATCTGGCACATACTTGTAATCCTAGCAACTGGAAGGCTGAAGCAGGAAGATCACAGTTCAATACATAGCCCTCAGAAAGCTAAAAACTTGAATCAATTTTTACTTCAACAGAACATTTACAAATAAAAATTCCTTAATAGCAACATGTGCCTAACTTGATTTGATTAAAGACAGGTGAAATGACTAAAGTTTTTACAGCAATGAAGACAGGCACAGTTATTATCTGATGGCAGTTTTAGAAATAATGCTGATTTCAAATAAAAGAGCAAGAAAATCGATGCCAGAGATTAAGTGTGTGATGCAGGCTGGAGAAATGATTCAGTGGTTAAGCGCTTGTTCCCAAAACCATGAGGACCAGGGTTCAGATCCCTATAACCCACATAAATGTTGAGTAGGTATAATGGCCCACCTGTAACTCCAGCCTCGGAAGGTGGAGAGAGGATCCCTAGAGCAAGCTGGCTAGCAAGAGAAAGTCATATCAGCAAGCTCTGGATTTGACTGAGAGACCCTGCCTCAGTGAATTAGGTGAAGAGTGATGAAGGATGATTCTCCATGTCAACCTCCAGTCTCCACATGCATGCACGCCCACCCCCCCCACACATGCACCCATACATGCAAACATGCATATATACTGATGCATACCATACAAAAATAAATGGAAAAAAGAAAAAAGATGTTTATGATGTGAATCACTAATCTTAACAGGTTAAAATACACAATTAGTAGTATTAAAAATGTGTAACTAATATGGTGTCAAGCTGGTTTTAAATTGGGGGTTTCCATTTTGCTATTCATTCTTTAATTCTGGATGCAGTAACTGTTCTATACTAATTTTCTCTACTTCAAATACATTAATTGTGTGAGGGAAAGTTTCTAGTAATAACAGAAATCCCAGCATGCATTACCTTGTCCTGAAGGATTTGCTGCCATCTTCCTATTCTGTTTCAATTCTATTCAGTGGCCACTGATCAGCACTTTACAATCATCTGTAAAAAAATTTATGTGCACACATAAAATGCACTGGCCTTAAAGTACAGTCTCAAACTTGTGAAGAACAGCTGGGCTGAGCTTGGTTTCTTATACCCATAAAAAGCACATACTTAAATCAGAAATTTAACTCTGCAAACTCCTCATGGACCTTATTAAATGAGCATTTTTAGTCTTGAAGCTGTTAATACCAACATTTAGCATTACTTCAATTTACATCATTAAGATGTATTTACCAAATATATCAACCTTCTGAAAGTATCCATATGATCAGTGCTAGGAAGAAAAATAAAATTCTATAAAAGTCACTCTCCATTCATTTAAAAACATATCCCAGCATTTGGCATGCTGGTAAAAGAAAAAAGGAACCTGACAAGTACCTACTCTGCATCATACACTGTGTAAGAAAGATGTTTCCAAAAATGTTTTTAATGAGCATCTTTATATACGTGGAGGTCAACTGTCACAAAACTAGTAAGCAAACTTGGACTCCTGGTTTTGTGTGTGTGTGATGTGTGATGTGTGTGTGTGTGTGTGTGTGTGTGTGTGTGTGTGTGTGTGTGTGTGTGTATGTGAGTGTGTGTGGTGTATGCCCAGGGGCGAGCATGTGTGAACAGGCCAGAAGAAGGAATTGGATGCCTTGCTCTATCACTCTCCACCTTGTTCCCTTGAAACAGGGTCTCTCAGTGAGCCTGGAGCTAGGCTGGCAGCCAGCACTCCTCACCGATCCTCCAGTCTATGCCTTCCCTCAGCTCTGGGGTCCAGGCGCTACAACCACACCAGCTTCGGAGATGGATGCTGGGGATTCCAACACAGATCCTAATGCTTGGGCAGCAAGTGATCTCACCAGCTGGGCAACTCCCCAGCCCCAAGCCTGCTGATTTCTAAGTTTAGAAATTAAGTTTTGTATTAGGTCGTACCGACATCACAAGATAAGCTCGGCCCTTGTGTTTCATTTCAAGCAATCACATTGGGGTGGGGGAGGGGCCGGGGGAACCAATTTAACAAGTGCGCTCTTTAAAAACGTGACCGCACAATAGCGGTAATCCCAGCATTCGGGAGGACGAGGCAGGAGAACCGAGAGTACCAGGCCAACCCGGGCTACGCGGCCAGACCCTGTCTCAAAAACAAGGCGCGAACAGGGTTGCGGAAGTAGAGAGTTAATTGTTGAGCAAAAGACAAGGGCTCGAAGCGGATGCCGGGTGTGACTGAATCGCGTCTCCCACGGCTGGAGCACAGTGTGAGCGAAGCCGGGCTAACCGTGAAGGAAATCGGGGCCACCTTGAGAAAGGGACAGGGAGTCCCAGGATTCCCTTGCCCGCGGGCGAGGTGGGCGAAACCAAACGGGAAGTGAGAACCCTTCGCCCGCTAGTCCGCACGAGGCCGCTGTCCCACGGCCGGCGCTCGGGACACACTTCTCCTGGCGTCACCAGTCCGTTGGACTTACCCGGATGCGAGGAGCCCCGAGAAACCTCGCTGTCGGGTCGTGGTTGTGCAGCAGGGGCGCGCCCACGCAGAACCCAGCAAGAGCACAACGATGCTCCGCACTACAACCTTCCCGCCGGCACCAACTTCCGCCTCCTGACTGACAGAGCCCGAGGAAGCGGAAGTCCCGCCTCTAAGCCTGGACGTAACGGGCGCTACTCCAGGCGATTCGAGGTCTGCGGCTTCTTTGGCAGGAAGGGGTTTCCCTTCTGAAGAATGACAGTCGAGGAGGCTCACGGGAGATGCAGGCCGTACTGCGGGGGGCGGAGCCCAAGGCTGAGAGGCGGGGAGGGAGCCGGGTCCCTAGCACCTAAATTGGCTTTTTAGTCCTCCGGGTTTGCAGGAGGCTAGCTGTTGGCCTGTCAAGATTTAAACCTGGTGCTAATCCACTTCAGCAGAGCCTCAGAAGAAAGTTGAGCTCACTTTCAGGTGTTAACAACCATCCCAGAAATATTTTTGTTGTTTACCGTCTGAATAATTATACATAAGGAAAGCACTAAGCTGGTACAAGTTTTTACTACTGTGCAAAATCTGCATTTTAAAAGTGAGTGTGGACGGGGTGTTGTGGCACACGCCTTTAATCACAGCACTCTAGAAAGGCAGAGACAGAGGTGGCCAGCCTGGTCTACACTGCCAGCTCCAGGACAGTCAGGACTACACTGTGAGACTCTGTCTTAAAAGCAAACAAACAAAAGAGTGAGTGTCACGCCTGGACGCTACTGGGGAATCACCTGATGCTGCGTTGCATCACACTAAATCTAGATGGTTATAAAAAGTAAACGTTCGCGGAGCGTGGTGGCGCACGCCTTTAATCCCAGCACTCTGGAGGCAGAGGCAGGCGGATCTTTGTGAGATCGAGGCAAGCCTGGTCTACAGAGTGAGTTCCAGGACAGCCAGGGCTACACAGAGAAACTCTCTCAAAAAACAAACAAACAAACAAACAAAAGTAAACGTTCTTTAATGTGTGTCACTTGTTCTGTGGTCATTAATCACTTTCCACAACTTGAACTTGTGCTCTTAATAATTAATGTTTGCGTTGCTGGGGATGTAGAGTACTTGCCCTGAATTTGATACCTACCACCGAATACAACTGGGCATGGTAGAGCATACATCCTTAACCCAGCACTGGGAAATTTAGTGGGAGGAGGATCTTCTCTACAAGGTTGTTCTTTGCTACATAGCAAGTTTGAGGCCAGTCTTGACTGTTATAAAACCTTCTTTCTTTTTTTTTTTTTTTTTTTTTTTTTTTTTTTTTTGGTTTTTTGAGACAGGGTTTCTCTGTGTAGTTTTGGTGCCTGTCCTGGATCTTGCTCTGTAGACCAGGCTGGTCTTGAACTCACAGAGATCCGCCTGACTCTGCCTCCCAAGTGCTGGGATTAAAGGCATGCGCCACCACTGCCCAGCTAAAACCTTATTTCTAAAATAATAATTGATGTTTGCTAATGTTTATGGATGCACAGTTTTATTGTATAGAGTCCATGACTGAAACAGTAAGTTCAATACTAAGGATTTATTTAGTTCTCAGCAAGAAATTGTTGAGTGTTTTCACATGATAGGTGCTGGCTATCCTCAGCTGATGTCTGAGATTTGTGTATGGGACTCAACGATGCTACTACATTGTGTCCATCAAAGAACTGAGCTAAACCCCCAAACTCTGCCGAGTGCTGAGGCTCAGATTCTTAACTTTGGCATACTGTCTTTGCTCTAGAGGAAGGAATTCCTCTGGGACCAGCTTTTAGTGACTTTTTCCCCCTTGAGACAGGATTTTGGTATGTACAGGCTGGTCTTAAACTCACCATGTATCCCAGGCTGCAGATTGGAATTCTCCTGTCTCAACTTTTTGAGCGCTGGCACTTACAGACCTGTCCCACCACACCCAGCTCTGTTGACTGCTGTCTTTAATCCCAGCACTCAGGAGGCAGAACCAGGCGAATCTCTGTGAGGTGGAGGCCAGCCTGGTCTACAGAGCCAGATCCAGGACAGGATCTCTGTGAGTTCAAGACCAGCCTGGTCTACAGAGCAAGATCCAGGACAGGCAGCAAAACTACACAGAGAAACCCTGTCTCAAAAAAAAAAAAAATCTATCTGTCTATCTAAAGCATGTTGGTAGGGAGAACATTTTAGTCTTCTATAATCTGCTGAGAAAATAGTCTTATTTGAGTTTAAAATCCTTAACAAATTCAGTTAAAAGGCCACTGTGAGACCGGGTATGAACTGAAAAGATAAATGAGATCTACATTCTTAAGAGAATTTTTCTTTTTTGTCCTGTTGCCTGGCTAGTCAATACAGGAACTAGGGCACAGAAAGCTCTTTAGCTCCCAAATAGAAAAAAATAAAAAAAGATTTAAGTAGATGAAAATGCTTACTACCCTGATCCTGACAGGTGAATATATACATCTTATTATTACACCACACTGCCTACATTTGTACAATTACAATAATAGCACGTTAAAATAATGAACATTCTGGAAGAACCTAGTTTAAGGAGTGGGAGAAAGTTCCTCCCGAACATTTGTCATTTCCTGACAAGTTCAGTGTCTCAGGGTTGCGGGGGACGCGATCAGCAGAGAGATAAGTTTGACTCATGACCAATTGTTCTGCCTCTTGTTTTGTGACTAGTCATCCTGGAAACCATCTGTCTTCTCCCTGAGAGCTTTGGGAACTTCTGTAGGTCAGCCAGGGCTGCAGAGGGAGACCCTATCTCAGAAAACTTTGTACAACCCAAAGGAGGGGTCTGCAAGGTTGCTCTCAGGCTCTCCAGATACATATGTATGTATTATATATGAATATATATATATATATATTCATAGTATACTGTGCAAATGTTAGTGTGTTACATTGTAGCTTCCACTGTGGGTCACTTGCTCTGAGGGAAGCCAGTCAGCCACCATGCCAGGAGGTCACTAAAGCAGCCAGCCCTTGTGGAAAGGCCCATACGACAGGAACTGAGGCAATCTTTGCACCCACAACCAGCAGCAAGCTGCCAGTTCTTAGGTGAGTTATGCTCTTTAGCCACAGGTAGGCCTTCACCCTGAGCCTGAGCCACAGGACCACCTAGGAAACCATTTGCAAGTTTTTTTCTTATCATGTTGCCCAGGCTATTCTCAAACTTGTGGGCTCAAGTTATCCTACTGCCTCAGCCTTTAGAGTAACCAGACCATTGACTACAACTTTGTATTTATTTATATTTTATGTATATGAGTGTTTGCCTGCATATATGTATACTATGTAAGTGTCTGGTGCCTGTGGAGGCCAGAGAAGAGTGTTGGATTCCATGGAGCTGGACATACAGGTGTTTGTGGATACTGGGAACAGAACCTGGGTCCTCTGGAAGAGCAGCAAGTGCTCTTAACCACTCAACCATCACTGTGGCTCCCATTACCTTGATTGTATCTCTCTGTTAAAAATTTTCTAGTCCACAGAAACTATATAAAATGATAAATATCTGCCAGTTTAAGCTATTAAATTTTGTGATAACTTATTATACACTAATGTGGGAGGGGTGTGGTAATTTGAATGTAATTGACCCCCATGATCTCATAGGGCATGGCACTATTAGGATGTATGGTGTGACTTTGTTGGAGTGGGTATGGCCTTATTGGAGGAAGTGTGTCATTGTGAGGGCGGACTTTGAGGTTTCCTATGCTCAGGATAACACTCAGAGTCTCAGTCGACTTCCTGTTGCCTGTAAGATGAAGGACTCTCATCTACTCCTCCAGTATCACATCTTCCTGCATGCCACCATGCTGCCCGCCATGATGATAATGAACTGAACCTCTGAAACTGTAAGCTGCCACCTTAATTAAATGTTATCCTTTATAAGAGTTGCCAAGGTCGTGGTGTCTCTTCACAGCTGTAGAAACCCTAAGACAGGCCGGGGGCGGGGGTGCTCTGCAAATGCTACAGTCAGTAGGGCAATGATCTGGTGAGGCAAGGAGGAAGTCTGGTTCAACATGACTCAGTAAACGGTGTTGGTTCAAACCTCTAGAGTCTGACTCCGGGCAATTTGTTTAGGCATATTTAAGTACAATACAATTTTGGAAAAAAGTTTCCTGGTAACAATGATCTCAATCCTGTGTGCACAGTAAAGCTTAAAGCATGGTGACATTGAAACTCCTTTGCAAAGTCCGTGTTATCTCTTCCATAAGAATGAGTTCTAGCCGGGCGGTGGTGGCGCACGCCTTTAATCCCAGCACTCGGGAGGCAGAGCCAGGCGGATCTCTGTGAGTTTGAGGCCAGCCTGGTCTACAGCGCAAGATCCAGGAAAGGCGCAAAGCTACACAGAGAAACCCTGTCTCGAAAAACCAAAAAAAAAAAAAAAAAAAGAATGAGTTCTATAGCTTAAAGGGCCTAGGGGAGACGCTGGTGTGGTCTTGGTTGTATAGATAGTGTAGAGGTCAGCAAGTTATAAAGTACATGTGACTTCTCCCCGAAGGATGGGCTCTGTTGAGTGAGAAACTGCTCAAGATAAAGGTGTAGGGAGGAAGAGTCTGGGATAAACATCATTGTCTGGGAGATTCAGGTGTGGTCTGGCCCTACAGATAGCCCAGGCTATTAACTGCATTCACACCCAGCCTTCTGGGTGGAAAATAGGTATACATCTCTTTCATTGAAGAGACAACCCTTTGTGCTTATCCTTCCTCGTTTCCCAGGTGCTTGTCTGTGAGCACAAGGACCTCGAGTCTTCTGCACAGGGATATATAGTTAATATTCCAAGATCAGCAAGGTGATCCTGTTAGCCATGGAAGGGGATTGTCTAGTTAAGGGAGTGGCCTGATTCCTTTAGAGTGAGTTATCTTTGTGAAATTCTCTAGGATGACAGCAAGGTTTGCGAAGAGCGAGACGTCCATTCACTTGTCGGTAGATGGCAGTAAAGAGAAGGGATAGGGTAGTACAACCCGCTGTGCGTTTCTAAAGAACTGGCACTTTACTGGACGATAGAAGATGCATGGTTTGGAACTGACTGTGAAGTATTGGACGTTGGACGCCTAAGGACTACACCTGTAAACAGGTACTTATATGCAAACTTTGTGCCCTCTTCCTCCATCCCTATGCCTTGATGTGTGATAATATGTGGCTGGACTAAATCCTTACTGTGACCTAGAACCTTCACATACATT